GAATGATCTAAAAGGCATTCAATTTTTAATGATTGGGAGAAGAGGTGAGTAGTTTTTGGCAAAGGCAGGTTTAGCCGTTTTGGAGATGCCGAGCTAAATGTGCAAAAAACGCACTTTTTGAGAGAAATAAGCATCCGAATTGAAAGATTCAAAAACTTTCTGCTTGTGTTAGTTTGTCGTCCTCGTCCAATTCATAAGTTTGTCTATAAAATAAAAATAATGAAAATTACAGTGATTATATGTTCAATTTGAAAACATTTATAATTATTAGACTTTTTTATTACGGTACGGGACGTTTCAGCAATTTGCTTCAAGGCCTAATGCCATATACCACTATAGTTTGTAATAGGGAATTCAATCCCGGTATACCGGTATACCGAATTACCGGTAAACCGCCCGATTTTTCGGCGGTATTTTTACCGGTATTTATTCCAAAAATACCGGTATTTTTACATAAGCGCTATTTGATACATAATACCCTAAAGTTTAAATTCCTCGGAACAAATTTACCTTTAAATTCCATAATCGCATAAACAGCTATATCTTCAAGTGATTCTATGAGATAAACAAATGTCATATATTATCTCAACTCGTCATTAAACTGAATATTTATTGCTTTCCAAAGGGCTTCATATCGTGTTACAATATATAGAATTGGACTGATAGATAATAATAGATGTTTGTTTCATCTTTTGTGAAAATGTAACGGTTTTTTAAGTGATATTTGGCCCAAAATATTTTATATCATACAGATTACCCCTGCGTAATCTTTATTTTTTTCTAACTTTATACATAATAATTATGATAATTACTAAATATTTTTTGGTCCTATTACAATTATAAAATATTATTTTTTGAAAACGTTTCGAAGTTTGAAAATACTATAGAAGCATCACATTGTTTTAAATAACAATACTCACAATCAGCAATTATAATAACTTATTATTTATCTCGACAAAGAATCCGATCTTAAATTAGTGTAGAAAAATTATTTTTTAAAAATATTGGAGATTATTCTAATTCAACACATCGGATACAGACAATATACAGTTTATTATAATAATGTAATATGATCTTTTATGAGTTTTTGGTCTTTCTTACTTTCAATTTTGTTTACGTTTGTTTAAAATAATAAAAATACCGGTAATTTACCGGTTTTCCGATTTTAAAATGTAAAATTACCGAAATACCGGTATTGAAATTTTCCATCGGTATTGCATTCCCTAGTTTGTAATATATTAAAGGTTACTATGAATAAAATCACGTCAACTTTATTGGATATTTTGGGCATCTTATCTATTATTGCAATGAAAAATTATTGAAATTTTACTTTAAGAATGTTAAATTTATATAGAGTAGAGTTTCAATATCGAAATGCATTTACTCAATAAATATTTTTTATATTTTAATTATTTAGTTGTTGATGATCACATACTTATCTTGTAAATATCATTTAATGATATGTACTTTATATTGTTATTTATCAAATACCCCACATGGACATAACAATTTTATTTAAAATCAACAAACTCTATACAATGAACTTTAGTGCTTCTTTGTTTAGATTACATTAATAATGAAATCAAATATCAATATTTACATTAAATGTTAAATTTTGATATGAGTAATACAATTTTTAAAATTTAATAATATCAATATGGAATTTAATTTAAAAAACTGTCGCCTTAGAAAATTGAGGATTAATATTCATCTAGATGAATTGATTCACAATCATCGCGCTTAAAATCTTTCATATTTTCTAAACTCTTCACTTAATATAAATGAACTCTTTGGTAAATTTATATAAAATTAATTCGTTATTGAATCTACGTTTAAAATTAACTAAGTGCAAACCGACGTAATTTTTTAAAAGTAAATCATACAAAAAGTATATATTTTACAAAAGTAAATATTTAACCAAGTGTTATTAATAAACATCAAATAAGTATCAAACGGTACAAAATAATTATATTTAATTCCATTTTTTTACTAATTTCGATACTGTTCGTGTTAATCGAATCTGATCTTCATAGTTTAACAGAATATTGTGTAACTCTTTAAAATCTTGCTAAATAGATTTTAATTTCTCGAAATGCGTTTAGTATTATTTGTTCTGCCTCGCGAAACGGTGTGTCTAATAAACTAATAAACTATTGTGAAGGAAAAATTTGGAAAAATTGTTAAAAAATAGTTAAATAACATAAAATAAGTTATAAAAGTAATATTTGATAATAATAAACAATAATATAAAAGTTTTAGTTACTTTCATTAAATTGGATTTAACATTCAAACAGGTTTGTATATGAAATCGTGGAGTATGAAAACTTTATTTTTGGAGTTTTTTTTGTAAATCGAATGCAATCCTATTAATTTTACTTTTGCATAAATAAATTAATTTAATCATGCATTGGTAAATTATTATGTTACCAGTTTATCATGATACATGCATTTATTACAATGCAAATTAGATACAACCTTGGTCAGCTCGATATCAAGCAGTATGATATGAAATTTTCTTAAGTAAAAATATCATTTCGGGGGCATTGCTGCAACATAGAGATATAATTATTAGATATTTATACATATTTTTTTGATTTCTAATATATTCACACATAGGAGAGTGGTTGACCGTTGGGTTGCCTTCTCGTGCAAAAGTTCTAGATAGTTCTGATTGCTTTAACAAAAATCCAAAGTGATAATAAATTATTTTTCTATTTTTCTACTTGAGTTTTGGTTGTTAATAGATTTGTTTACAAGTTTTTGTTTGCATGGATGACTTTGTTTATTATTATTGTTGCAATTCTTCTGAGTGAGCACAAATACAATAATTGTTTAGTTGACACCAGGATGGACTTTTGATAGTTTTGAATTTTATGGAATTTTTGTTGATGACAAAAACGGAAATCAATAGTGGAAAATTTTATCAAACGAAATTGTTTCGTATTTGAAAGGTTTTGATTATGTTATATTTTATTTTGATGTCTAATTTTTTCTATTCTTTTATAATTACAAGCGTCTAAACATCTCATCTAGTAATAATTATGGATTATTACAAAAACAAAACATAAAAAACAAAACTTTTTAACTAAATTAGGCTCAATTTAAATAAACATCTGTACTTAATTAATCGAACCTTATATTAACTATATGCTAAGTTAAATTGAAATAAACTTCTAAATTTTATTATTTGGCTTCACCTTAGTTAGTTTGATTCTTTTAAGCTTATTTCTGAGTTTTGATTTTCAAGTAAAATTAAAATAAAAATACTTAAAAACTTTTGATCAATAATATCTTTTTGAAAGTTCTAAAACTATTAATTTCAAACTTAAAATTACCTATTTTAATTATTTAATTTGTTTCTTTCTGGACATTTTCTGTTTTGAAATTGATTTTTTGTTGAAGACAAAACGGAAAAAAACTGGAAAATATAGTGAATAAAAAAAATTTGAATAAAAGTTTTTCTATACATTTGTATTTTAGATTTTAAATAGCCTTTATTTTTATTATTTTTAAGTTCAACTAAGATTAATAAAAGTAAGATTAATCTCTTATTCAATTTATTTATTGCTTTTTTAATGTGTTGAATTTATCTGAATTTCTTGTTTGTGACAAAACGGAAAAAAAATCCGTAATATTTCTCAAACGAATAGTATCAAACAAAATTATTTTATTGGAAAAACTAAACTTTTGAGGTTTAGGTATTGCTATATTTTATTTTCAAAATTTAGCTCTTGGTTTCTAAGTATAAATTTCGATTAAATTATAAATTAATTAATAATGATAATTAATATATTATTTGTACAAATTTTTGACAAATTACAAAGTAAATGAAATTTGCAACTGAAAGACATTCAACTTTATTAATCCAAATTTTTGTACGATTTATATAAAAAAATGCTTTAGTTAAAGTTTGTAATTGAGAAGTATCTTAAAAAGTTATTAGTAAATACCATACAAATATTTTATAATAATATTTATTATTTATTATTTTAAATACCATTCACTTCCATTTAATAAAAAAATGCAATTATCTTTACCTTTTTTAAAATACTAAAGTGAAATTATTTTTTTCTAAAAAAGTTGTAAAGAAAAGTAGTTTTGACAATTATAGTATTTTAATCAAGTCGTTTTCGGTATTACTTATTCTCTTTATATTGATGAGTATTTTTATTTTCCAAATTAGATGTTTGTTATCTGGTAGAATTTATTTTCTCCAGGAATGCCAGTTATTTTTTTTCATATTTAGATAAATAGTTTTACGATTAGATTTTTGGCTATATTAAACCAACTATATATTACAATATAAAAACTCTAAATTAAATAAAATTCGAGTTGATGCCAAAACATTAATTTTGTCCACTAGTTTTTATTTGAATGAATGGTCATTAATAAAATAAAAGAGTCAAATATAGTTGATTGGAACAAAAATGTATGTGAATGGCCCTTAATTTATTACAATTCTTAAAATATACTAATTTATTCGAGTGAATGAAGTTATAAATATTTAATAGTACTTCAGTTTGTAATAGTAATATAATATACAATACAATATTTAATAGATCAAAATAGTATTTAATAAATGTATGTGCTTGGATAAAATAGTAAATGGGTATTTGAATGTTTGCATAAAAATTACCATTTGAATTTGGCGCGCACTTCGCATCAAACAAATTGAAGTTAACCCTTAATTGTTTTTAATGTTAATAATAGCATGATTTATTAAATTTAATTATAAATTAATTTATAAAATTCCTAATCTGTTTCTGTAAATAACTTAGCCTTTCTAGACAACCTTTTACATATAATATGTAATAGAATACTTGAAAAAAATAGCAAGAGAGTATTTGAATGTTTGCATAAAAATTGCCATTTGAATTTGGCGCGCACTTCGCATCAAACTAACCGATGTTAACCCTTAATTGTTTTTAATATTTTAATAACATTTTGCATTAAAATTATTTATTGAATTAGAATTATAAATTAATTAATCAAATTCCTAATCTGCTTCTGTAAATAACTGAGCCTTTCTAGACAACCTTGTAAATATAAACGACTAATTTTTTTTGCATGTGTTTGTTCGCCAATTCGAATTTGCGCAATAAAACATTTTATCTCAACTGTCAGGTGGTCCGATTATGTCAGATGTAATAATTGTGCTAATAATTGAATAATAGACTTATAAATTGTGATACAGTAGTAAAAGACTTATTTATAATCATTTGCACTAATTTTGTGTGCAAATTATCGCGTGCAAAAAAATTTTTTCATCCTAACCTCAAAAAGTCATTTTTCGGTTTTGCGATTTTTTTCTTGTAATGGATGAAAGATTATGTCTGCTGCCGAGATAGAAGGACATTTGAGAAGATTCAATATTGACAGTGCCATCAGTGACCCCACAGTTAAGATAAGAGGCCTGGATGATGTAAGATTAAATTTATGTATTTGTGTTAGTGCCCCCTCAGAACGCTTGCATATGTATTTTATTTATAACATGTCCTCTTGCCCCCCAGCTCCATATAAAAGCATGTACTGTTAGTGTATTTAGTCAGTTGTTTGACTGCTTCTGTGTTGGCTGGATTAATACTAAAACATACATACATTGCACTTTGAATTGCACTTTCACTTACCTAACCTAACTGACATATTGCTTTTTTTATCCAAAGTGTTTACCCAAGAGTCTTTTACCCATGCATTCGATTTACAAAAGTTCCTCGACTCCAAAAATAATGTTCCAGTTCTTTCGTGTAAACCCAATTTATTATTCAGATTACTCAGATACGACTCAACAGCATTAGACAGGTGTTTTAGAAAATACTTGTCTAGCCGAAAGATTAGTGAGTTTTTGATTTATCTGCATACTAAATTTTATGACAAGAAAAGCAATCTTTATATTGTTTGAAAAAAAGTGATTGAAACAAGTTTTGTGTTACAAATACAGAGAATGGATATTGTCGCAAATGTAAGTACAATGCTTTTTTTGCTTTATCATTGTTCATTGTAACAGCATGGTAGTAAAGCAACATTATCATCATTTCATATATTGAAAATTGGAGAAATGAATGTTATGTTATAGTTCGTTTAATTTTTGCAGTATCCAGTTCTGAAGTCTTTTCTGGCAGGTTCTTTCTCAGGAACGTTCAGTGCGATATTGTTTCAACCATTGGATTTAGTTAAAACGAGGTTGCAGAACACTCCACAAAGTTCTACTAGGTAAATATAAATTTTATTACACTTTTATATATATACTTATTTTAGTTTTAAAATATAGAATAAGAGTTTAGAAAAATTCTATTAGTACAAATTTAATTAATATTAATATAAATATTAACCAGTGTGAATTTTGATTACAATTTTTGAGGGTAAAAGAGTATTTATTTAATTGCTAGTTTTTGAACTAAGTCAGCTTCAGTAAAACTTGAATTAAAATGCAATTTTGTTTACATTAATGGAAATTTTTAGTTCTTTTAATAATTTTGAAGTTATTTCATTTTTTATTGAAATAAATAAGCGGTTAAGGAACCAGGGTGAATTTTTAAGAATTTTTGGAGGTAAAACGTTTATTTATTTAATTCTTCTTGAACTAAGTAAGCTTCAGTAAAATTTGAATTCAAATGCAATTTTGTTTACATTAATTTAAATTTTTAGTTCTTTCAATAATTTTGAAGTTATTTCATTTTTTATTAAATTAAATAAGCGGTCGGGGAACCGGAGTGAATTTTTATTTCAAAGTTTTGGCCATAAAAAGTATATTTATTTAATTGCTAGTCCTTGATCTAAATCAGCTTCAGTAAAATTTAAATTAAAATGCAATTTTGTTTACATTAATTTAATTTTTTAGTTCTTTCAATAATTTTGAGTTTATTTCAATTTATATTATAATAAATAAGCGGTCAGGGACTGCGGAATTTTGAGGGTAAAAAGTACATTTATTTAATTGCTAGTCCTTGAACTAAGTCAGCTTCAGTAAAACTTGCATTAAAATGCAATTTTGTTTACATTTTAACAAAATTACATTTACATGTTTATTTCAATGATATAGATAGTTTAATTTATTTTGATCTATTTTTTAATTATTCAATTGAATAACATGTCAGAAAAGTAAATTAAGTTGGATGTTATACAAAGTTTTAATCGAACAGGTATAAACTAAATTAAAAATATTTTTTTCAATCGAATCATTATATTGATTTATTTTTCATTTTCATTATTTTTCAATTGAACAAGTATAAATTAAATCTAGAGGTTTTTATTAATTTGTTTCATTCATTATTTTTCTATTGAAAAAGTATGAAGTAAATAAAAGTATGTCATTAATGAGTTCTATTTTTAATTATACTATTTTAATTATATAGAAAGGTAAATTTATTTATACAAATTTTTAATCAAACAATTAAAAATTAAATTTAACTTATTTATTTATTTAATTAGTCCAATTTTTTTATACACTTTTTTTTCAATTGAACTTAAAAAAAATAATCTTAGTAATGTTTTATTAACTAAATTAAAAATTGTTCAATAATTTATTCTATTTTATAAATATATTAATTTACAATTGTATAGCAATTTAGGAAAGTAAATTTAGTTGTTTATAATATGAATTTTCAATCAAAAAAGTAAAATATTTTATCAATTTGTTCTATTTTTTTAAAGAAATTGTTTATGAATTGATAACAATTCAGAAAAATAAATTTAGTTATATATTATACAAAATTTTTCAAAAAGAGTTGAATTATTCAGAAATTTATTATTTATTATTTAGAATTATTATTTAGAAATTATTATTAATAATTTTGTTAGTTAAAAATATTTTATTTTTAATACATTAATTGAAGATTGAAGTAAAAATATAAATATATTTATATTTTACACAAATTTTCCATCGATTAAGTATAAAATATAACAAAAATGTATTACATATATAAAATATTGTATTCATAAATTTTATTTATATGTAGTACAACCAGATTAATAATTTATTTTCTTTATTTTCAGTCCTCGATCATGTGGAATGGTAACAGTTTTAACGACAATTTTAAAGAAAGAACAATTATTAGCACTTTGGACAGGAATCACACCTGTAAGTATAAATATAAATTATATATACAATATAAATAAATATATATATATATATATATATATATATATATAATTAGTAGCCAATTTGTTGAATTAAAATAATGAACTGACTTCTTTATTTGTGTTTTGACACTCGATGCGATAATTCAACAAATCTAAATTACAGAAAGTTTTTTTAATGATTTGAATTTTTTTAATGAATTTAATTTTAAAACTATTAAACCATTAATTAACTGAAAATATAAACTAAACAATATTATTTTTAAACAAGAAAACATTAATTGACCAAAAACAACAGAGTATTTACTGTTAATTTACCATAAATTTCTATTTTGGTATTCTTTTAAATATTGAAAGAAATTCAGATGGGGAAGTAGAAAATTAATTCGACTAATTGGCTGCTAGTTATATTATATATTTTATTATCGAAAAACAATCAATATATATATATATATATATATATATATATATATATATATATGTTACATTTTTTTCGAATGGTGAAAGCTATATAAATAAAATAGTAAAACAGACATCAATTTATATATTAGAAAAAAACTGATTCAATTTTCTAAAAAATAGACTTTAATAAATAAATAAATAGGAAAATATATAAATATATAAATAATAAATTGAAAACTGCAATCAGAAAAATGTGGACAAATAAATTCACAATATTTGTCACAGTTTTCTTTCATAAAAATGTATATGTATGTTTTTAATTGCAGTTTTCAATTTATTTATTCACTTATATATCTATCACCTATTTTTGTTTCTAATTTTTTTTTTCAAAAAATATTTTTGTAATTTTGGATTCAAAAATTCAAAAAATGACCCAGGCTAAGCACAGTCTAAGCGCCACTCTGGTACAAATGTTCACCCAAATGCGTTTAGACTGTTTATGTCTGGAGCACTTTTTCAATTTTGTGAAAACTATTGAAAAATGTGAAAATGCCGCCAAGCTAAGCACAGTATAGATGAAAATGTCGCACAGAATTATTTGCAAATGCGTTTAGACTGTGACTATACGGGAGCACTTTTTCATTTTTTTGTAAATTAGGCAACTATTTTTTTTTAAATTGAATTCGAAATGAAATGACGATTGTTGTTAATGTTCTGGAGATAAATTGATTTATGATTTACATTTGATTTGCACAGATATCAGAAGATAGCAAAAATAATAAAAGTTACAGTATTTGTAATAATATATTTGGAAACGTTTAAAATTTCACGAATATTTCATTACGGTACGGGAAGTTCCAGCAATTTGCCTTAAGGCACGATGCCATACACCACTAGTTAAATTCTATATTATAATATTATCTATCGCGAAGCAGATGGCAATTTAGAAATTCGAATTTTTGCAAAACCAGATGTACTGTTCTTGTTCCACATTACACTCTTAGCATATTGTTAAAAGACAAGAACATTTGTGTTTGTGCAAATCATTTAGATTAACATGTGGCATAGGTGCAAATTAAATTTGCAAACAACTTTGATAATTATGTGTGCAGATCATTTGCAAAATAATTGTTATAATAATATATTTCCTTATTGTAAAATAATATAAGGTTGTCAAATATCTCCCTTCCGCCTTTTTGTATTATAAACCAAGAGCAAAAAAGCGGAAGGGAGATATTTGACAACCTAATATGATATAATTTTTTAACTTCCCGAAAGAGAACTTGACAAATAATTGTAACTGATATTTTAACTAAAAAAATACATTTCTGAAGTAAAACTTCTTTAGGCGCGACTAGGGTGTAAATCCGTACAAATGCAACGGAAGTGCGTTACTGCAGATAAGAGTCGAGTGCCAATGATTCGTCATTCGCTCTCTATGATATCATTTCTATACGGGTCGATTGTGATTAGTCGTCGTGTCGTGTGAATAGAGATCTGTCGTTTAATAATGAGTACTAATTTTTAATTTTTGTTTTCAGTCCATAACACGATGTGTTCCTGGTGTTGGCCTGTACTTTTCTGCCTTACATTGGCTGAAATCGCAGACACTTGTGAATGAAAATGTAAACGAGCCAACCCCATTGCAAGCGGTTGCTCTTGGAGTCGCTGCAAGAACCATGAGTGGGGCTGCCCTTATACCAATCACCGTAATTAAAACCAGGTTGGTAGAAATCATATTATTTATCAAGAATCACGAATTGATTTTAAGTAAAATGTTTAAAAGAATTCATTATTGGTGTAAATGTAATTAGTGGTGCATGGCATGTGATATCTCGATTCCAAATCAACAATACAGCGCAATAATGAATTGCTTAAAAAAGTGTTCAAAATTTTCAAAAAAAAAAAAAGAATAATAAAAAAATCAAAATAAAACTAATCAAATTTTTCAAAAAAGTCAATTTTTTTCAAAAATTACAACATTTCTCAAAAATCAAATTTTTTCAAAGTTTTGCAAAGTTTTTTTTGATAATTTAGTTTTTGGTACGGAAAGTTCCAGCAATTTGCCTTAAGGCACGATGCCATGCGCCCCACTATTTCTAGCTATTATTGTTGTTGTTTATTTAAATTATTTTTTAACTTCCCGAAGGAGAAGTTTATGTTTTCATCAAAAAATCCGATTCGCTAATTTTATGTTTTCTCGACGTTTCGAGCCATTCTGAATCGAATGAGACCAAATTTGGAAAAAGTATGTGTGTGTGTGTGTGTGTATGTGAACAGATTTTTTGCCGTAAATCGACGTTTTCTCGAAAACGGCTGAGTCGATTTCAAAAATTTAAAAGCCATTCGATGTATCTCGACGAGAACTATTGTCAGTTTTGTGCGACGATCGGCCAAGCCGTTTCTTTGTAAATGACAGAAAAGTGAAAATGTTTGAAAATTCAAAAACCGATTTTGAAAATTCAACAACCGTTCGAAAGATATTGATTGGGAATCGTGCTGATTAGTTTTTGGTAGAGATCGGCCGGGCCGTTTTCTTGTAATAAAGTTAAAAAAAAAAAATTTCGACGATTTTTATGATTATTTTTTTGACGATAGATACCATAGTCTTCTAGATCATACTAAAATATTACGGCCCTACGACAACTGGTTCAGCTATAAAAATTCGTCAAAGTTTGCAAAAATTGGTATCGTTTTTTTAGCATTTGACAAAATTAGACTTTTTATCGACGTTTTCTCAAAAACGCCTGAACCGATTTTAGAAATTCAAAAGCCATTTAATATATTTCGGTGAGGACTATCGTTTGTCAGTTTTGTGCGACGATCTGCCAAGCCGTTTCTTTGCAATTTGAAATAAAGTCTTAAACTTTTCGTCCACAATTAAGCTCCTCCTACTGAACCGATTTTAAAAAATCAAAAATTCTTCGAAAGATATTAGTTGGGAATGGTACTGATTAATTTTAGGTGAAAATCTACCGAGCCGTTTTCTTGTAATGAACTGTTGAAAAAAAAATTTAAGCCGATTTTTATGGAACTTTTTTTGGCGATATACATCATGGTCTTATAGAACTTACTGTATTTACTGTTATTACGGCCTTACGACAAGTAGTTTAATTTTGAAAATTCGTCAAACTTTGCTAAAATTATTATCGTTTTTTTAAAGTAGGATTGATGAAGTTTATTATTTACACATTTTTTTTTTGATTATGTCGATTATTTACACATATCGGGAAGTTCATGTAACTTGCCTCAAGGCTAAATACCAAACCAACTAGTTTAGTTTTCGGTACGAGAAGTTCCAGCAATTTGCCTTAAGGCACGATGCCATGCGCCCCACTATATCTAGCTATTATTGTTGTTGTTTATTTAAATTATTTTTTTATTTTTTAGATATGAAAGCGGTGTATATAACTATGCCAGTATGACACAAGCCCTTACAATAATTTGGAGAACTGAAGGCCTTCGAGGCTTATGTTGTGGTCTCACAGCAACCCTCGTAAGGGATGCTCCTTTCTCCGGATTGTATCTCATGTTCTATACGCAAAGCAAACAAGCCATACCACAAGGTAAGGAAAAATTATTAGTGCTAATAAATTAATTCATGATCTTTTTTTAATTTTTCTCTAATTACAATCTGACTCACATAGGACATTCAGTAATTGTTTTGACTCTTATTATACGGATTTTTGAATGGATGGCAACCCAGTAGTTGTCCAATCCAGTTATGACTAATTAACCATACTCAAAGAATTTTCTGACATTTTTTAATTAATTTATGATTAACTATATATTTATTTTGTTTGCAGATATTTTAAAATCCCCATATGCATCTTGTGTCCATTTTACTTGTGGTGTAACGGCTGGAATTTTAGCATCTGCTGTCACGCATCCAGCAGATGTCATCAAAACACAAGTGAGTAATAAAATAAAAATGTATTTTAGATATAATTCCATAAGATTAGTTTTATTTACTAATAATCACCGAGTGCTTGAACAATTAAAATTAGTAAGTCCTCAGAAACAGCTCCGATTGCGTTTATTTTTGAAGTAGAACTTCTTTAGGCGCGACGACGATACGGACTGAAGTTGGTTACGACTATCTTTCGTAAATTCTGATTTGTCATTGGCCGATGACGTCATTTGCGTAGATTTGACGTGATTGGTCGTTTAATGTTTACAAAGGGAAAAATCGATACTTGTGATTCAATTGTCAACCGAACAGTCATGTTGAAATAGGAACATCAAATATAATTAAATTCAAAAAAAAAAATTACGTTTATCAAAAACCTATACAAATGCTAGCATGCAACCTTAGTAAAACTGAAATGTCAATGAAAATTAAATATTATTTTATAAAAAATTTTGATTTTCGACCGCCAAACGGCAGTTTTAAATTTTTTTTTAAAACTGCTGGACCCCTACCTTTCCAAAAATTTTGCTATTCTCAAAAACGTCAATACAAGTGAAATTTTGAACTTCTTGGTCTTTTGAAAAGTTCAAATATTGGAAAAAAAATTTTTATTGAACATAAAATTTCTTGAAAAATTTGACACTAATAAAAATATCTTGTTTTTTGTTTTATTTTTTTTTTATTTTTGATTTTCGACCGCCAAATGGCATTTTTTAAAAAAATTCAACCCCCTGGACCCGCCCTTCTAAATATTTTACCAATTTTTAAATATGTACATCAATAGAAGTGAAATTTTGAACTTTTTGATCTTTTGTAAAATTTAAATATTTAAAAAAAAGATCTTTATTGAAAATGAGATTTCTTGAAAAATTATCAGTATTTTTAATTTTTAATAAAAATATCAGTATTTTTAAATTTCAAATTTTGGGAACTGAATTTTTTTAATTATGAAATTGTATGAAAATGTTTGATTTTCGACCGCCAAATGATATTTTTAATTTTTGTTTTAAACCGCTGAACTTGATTTTCTAAAAATTTTACCAATTTTTAAATATGTACATCAATAGAAGTGAAATTTTGAACTTTTTGATCTTTTGTAAAATTTAAATATTTAAAAAAAATGATCTTTATTGAAAATGAGATTTCTTGAAAAATTATCAGTATTTTTAATTTTTAATAAAAATATCAGTATTTTTAAATTTCAAATTTTGGGAACTGAATTTTTTTAATTATGAAATTGTATGAAAATGTTTGATTTTCGACCGCCAAATGATATTTTTAATTTTTGTTTTAAACCGCTGAACTTGATTTTCTAAAAATTTTATCAATTTTTAAATATGTACATCAATAGAAGTGAAATTTTGAACTTTTTGATCTTTTGTAAAATTTAAATATTTAAAAAAAAAAAGATCTTTATTGAAAATGAGATTGCTTGAAAAATTATCAGTATTTTTAATTTTTAATAAAAATATCAGTATTTTTTAATTTCAAATTTTGGGAACTGAATTTTTTTAATTATGAAATTGTATGAAAATGTTTGATTTTCAACCACCAAATGGAATTTTTAAATTTTTTTTTAAACCGCTGAACTTGATTTTCTAAAAATTTTACCAAGTTTTAAATACGCCAATGCAAGTGAAATTTTAAACATTTTGAACATTTGAAAAATTTAAATATTGAAAAAAAATTCTTTTGAATTTAATGAGATTCCTTAAAAAAAATTGAAAATACTGATATTTTTTAGGACCTGATTTTTTTCAATTTTGAAATTTTATGAAAGTTTTTCACATTGTTGAAATCGGACGCCAAGTTCTCTCAAGAACTGAATTACCAACGGCTGGACCTGCCTTTCTCAAAATGCTAATCAGCACGTCTTACCATCAGTAAGAATCAAATCTGTTTTGAATAATTCAAATCGGTTGAGCGATGCTCTCGAAATCGTCGACGAAAAATTGTGTTCACACATACATTCACACAAACCAGTTTTTTCTAAAGCATGCCAAAATGTTCAGAAACCCCTGAAACGTAAAATAAAAATTTCATTCTCGATTTTTTTGCGATTACCATAACTTACCCTACGGGAAGTTAAAAATAAATTTTGGTTTTTAAGCAATCGCAGAAAATGTATTATTTTCTGATGTTTGTACACTTTAACAATTTAACAAATTTCTATTTTTTTACCAGATGCAACTTTATCCAGACAAATTCACATCAGTGCTCAGGGCCATGGGCCACATTAACCACACCATGGGCGTCTCTGGTTATTTCAGGGGCTTAGCCCCTCGTATGTTGAGAAGAACCTTGATGGCAGCCATGGCCTGGACAGTTTATGAACAGATAACACTCAGGATGGGTTTGAAATAAAAATAAAAAAAAATAAAAAAGAAATATGGATACTTTGGAAGAACTTTTTTGAGAATCATCGAAAGGTAAACTATCATTGTAATAATAGAACCAGATGACAAATATTTTACTGGACAAAATTTTATTTAAAATTTTATTTGTATCTTTGTAGATTTTATACCAAATACGTTTTAGCTGCTGAAGTAACTATCTGGAAAATTGTTTAAATTTTATAATGATAGTTTACTTTTTGTGTGATTTTAGGGGTTTATGAAGGTTATTCTGAGTGTTGTGATAATTTTTATAAAATTTTCCAAATTTAATACAACTTTGGTAACATAAGGGAAGTCAGCTTTAAAGGAGTATAAAAAGATAATTCTTATACATATCAACTTATAAATATTTTATTTATTTTATCATTTTTATGAACCCTCAAATGCAGTCTTTGCATTTCATTATCCAAGACAAAATATTAATTTTTGTTTCTTCTTCAACTCAGTATTTTAAAAGCGAAACATATTTTGAAAAGACTAATTAATTTTATAATAATTTATATTTGTACATACAGTATTTGCATGTTTTAGTTCTTAAGTTTGTTTTGTTATATATAATTATGTTAAACATATTATTGCAAAGTTATTGTTAGAAGAGCACAATATTTTTATATGATTGTTAAAAATTTTATGCAATAATAAATATATTTGATAATTTTTTGTGGTTTTTATGTATCGACTGAGCATGATGGACCACCACTGCTCATGTCTCGAAGAGGGATAGTTGATGATTCATCTAAAAAAAATTAAAAATATATTAAAATTTTAATTTTAATGTATTTTTTGGACTTGGTGTTACCTTGTCTTATAAGCTGTTGTTTTTTTCTTCTTTTGAGGAATATTATAATTATTATTGATACAATTACTACTAAAATCACAATCAATATTATATACCAGTGGTCTGTGTACATGGTGAAGCCTGAAATTATTTTTAATAATAATAATAGGAAAGTGTATAACAGAATCACTAAATTGTTTATTTATTAAATTCTCAATGAAGTTCATATTTTTGCCAGAAAATGCGAGTAATTCTGAAGTGTTTCAAATTAGATTTTTATTTTTTTTTACCTGGGGTGCTTTCAAGAGCATACATCGATATTCGACGATCTTCTTCCAATTTTTCGCACAATTCATAAAATTTTGGTTCCGGCGGTGGCGGTGGTGGTGGGATTTGCAAAATCCCATCCGGTGGTGATTGGGAATCGAAATCCGAACATTCCATAAATTAGTACCAAAATATTCTTCAAATTTGATGGGAAATTAGAAATTACATCTTCGAATACCTAAAGGAAAAATTGGGAGATTTTGAGAGCAAAGCAAATAATATATTGTTTGGTAGAATTAGTTGGTGAAAATTATTTTTGTGAGAATTATCAAAAAGACAAATTGAAGAATATAATTATAATGTTGATTTTTTCGTGAACGATAACAAGTCAAAAATATGTAGATAATCAAAGTATGACTAAAAATAAACTTTAACAAAATTGAATGTTTCAAGAATGAGGAAAGAAAATGTTTTGAAATTGTGAATTGTTTTATACATTTTTAAAACCAAAATCGTTTTTGTGACAAAAATTAACTGCAGAAAATGTTAATAAATAATAATGTTGATTTTTTTGAAAATGATATCCGTATAATTAATGTTTATCACAAAAAATGAAGAATGCAATTGAATTAGAAAGTTCCTGGGCTCATTACCATGTGAAATCGACTCCGATTGAGTATTATATGTTTAAAGTAGGAGTAAATTATATGTTTTATAATTTATATTTCTAATAATTTGACTTTATGATTTAGTTTATACACAACTTTTTGTCTCATTTGGCTAAGATATCATTGAAACAGTCGAAAGAGACTTATTTTTTAAACTGTTTTTTGATGAGATGTCTATATGAGATTTTCATGAGTTTTTTCTTTATTTAATAATTTATTATTACTATATTATTATTTTACTTGGCCGGGATATCATTGAATATATTCCAAAGCCTCGTTTTTTTAAACTCTCTTTGTGTCGTGATTGTAAGATATTAAACAAATGTTGACATGGTAGTTTTAATAATAATATGGACTTATATAATGTAAAACAAATAATGCATAAAGTAATCTGTTACTGCATTAAAAAGATGTTTATGGTATTATCATTAGTTAAAAACAGTTTGATTGTTCTAACTAAAAAATAATGATGCATCATATTATCTAGAATATGATTCTGATTTTTTTTTTTTACTAATATTTATTTATATTACATTATTTGACAGTCGTTTAGCCAAATTGAATGGTCATTTTTTTATTAGGTAATGTTATTAGTTTTAATTTCAAACTTCGAACTTTTTGCAGCTTGAAAAGGTCTTCACTCGTATTCAAAAAACGGCTAAGATTTTCTCTTAATTTTATTTTTCTTTATTATTTCTTCATGAGGTACGACTTAGGCAACTTCACAATGCATAATCGTGCAGTATTATAAGTAGTAATCTAATTTAAATTCTTTAGAATTTTCTTTAAATTCTGTTGGCAAAAATAAATTTGTTTCAAATTATGAAACGTATATGGTATTAATCAAACACATCGCAAATGTGATGAATCATAGTCTGAATTAAGGTTTGTAGGTTTTTAAAAACAGTTTTTTCTGTGAAAAATTACGGAATTCGAAAACCGGTTTTAAGTAGATGATACCGGTTTCCAATGTAAGATTAGCACTTTTAAATTAAATTTGTTTTGAACTTGAAAATCGATAGCCATCCTTCGTTTGACGTCGATTTTTAAAAATCTTTTGTTTTCTGGAAAAAATAACGGTATTCGAAAACCTGTTTCTGGTAGATATAACCGGTTTTTAATGTACTAATAAAAATTATATTTTTTTTCGAAAGTCGAAAATCGATAGCCATCCCTCGTTTCGCTATTATAGAAATATTTAAAATCTTATATATAAAAAATAAGGTTTATACTTTAAAAGAATAATTGTTAATAAATTTATTTAATCCTGATTCATTATTATTTTTGGTTTTACTAAATTGCATAAACCAAGTTATTATTAGTAAATAATTTCAGCCAAAAACTCTAGAATGGTATTGTGCTGAAAACGTGATTTTTTATTTGTCTTCAATCATTATATACTTAGTGTGGTATCATCAATGGTTATTTCAGAAAATATAAAAGTTGGTTTAGTAACAAATAGTCTTGTCATTTTTTCAAATTTTCCATAACAAAAGTACCTAATAAAGATACCGTTGTGGGGTTAATCACTCAAAATTTTCTGTTTCAATTTTTTGTTCAAATTAGTCAAACTCAATAAAGTTTGTTTTATGGACACTACAACGGTTAAAACATGTTTTCCAAAAGAAACAATTCGAAAACCTGTTTTCTAAATTATATTATTTTCAAAAACCGGTTTGCTAAATGATCTTTTTTGAAAACCGGTTTTTAAATGATCTTTTCCGGAAACCGGTTTTCTAAATGATCTTTTTCGAAAACTAGTTTTCTAAAGAAATTTTTTCGAAAACCGATGTTCTAACCTTTTTTCGAAAACCGGTTTTCTAAATGATCTTTTTTTGAAAACCGGTTTTCCAAATGATATTTTTTTCGAAAACCGGTTTTCCAAATAATCGGTATTTGTATAAACTCTAGTTTAAATATTAAAAGTATGTACCTGTTAATTAAACATCCGATTAAATAAGAACCAAAGTAGTTTACCATGCACTGCAAACTATAACTGTACTTTGAAACATGTTTTACGTAACAGTATAAAATAGTTTTTTTTTACTAAACTTGTGTTTACAATACGTTTCAATTACTTCTTCTTATCATGTGTCCACTAAATTATGCACCCGCACTTTTACAACTTCACCAACTTATTGTCAGTACAATTGTCTAGTATTTTTTAATTCAACACTTTGTTGTTTTTTTCACTCTGGGCGTTCCGCTACATAAAATTCTCTATACCGTAATTTTACAATGGAGAATAAAATTAATCGCGATGAAATAATGATGGTATTTGTTATTCACATAATTATTATTACGTGCATTTAACACCTATAACCCACTTACATGGACTGTAGGTAAAATTAATCTGCCGTAATGCGGCCGATAAGGTTTCATTATCGCGACGATAATACAATATCAAAGAATTTGTATGTATATCAATATTGGAACAGGAGTTGTGACACAGGTTAAAAATTGAGAGACAAATTTATTTACTGCATTATACCAGTCGTGGTATAATGGTAAAGAGCCAGCCTCGATCGGTCAACTCGATATCCAGCAGTATGACAAGAAATAGAGAAATTTTCATTTGAGGCTATTTATGTTCATTATGAAGTATATCTGTATATAAATGATACACAGCTACACAAACTATTGTTGTGCTTGATCTCTTGTTTAGAGTAATACATTTAAATATCAAATTATTACTCTAAATTTACATTACATTATTTGTAATGCAACTTTGTAATACTTAATAGCTATCATAAACGAAAAACATATAGACTTCCTCTAAAATTCCAAAAGTGTCTGAGATATAATTCTGAAAAAGATATATCTTCGGCATGTTAGAATATAGCTGTACTGTTTTAATATTTTGTAAAATCTATAAAAATTCTAAGAATTATTATGTTAAACAACGCCTAAATAAATATTGTTTTCACAATTTCACTCATCATGTAATTGTGTTTGAAGAACTTCATGTAATTAAAATTAACATACATTCATTGACGGCTTGTATTTTTTTTTTTCTTTTTTGCTGGCGATATAGTCTCATTCTCAGAACAGCTGTAATATCTGTTTTGCCTAAATAATATTTTCCATTTTAATAACTTCAAAGATTCATAGAAAGTACGAATAATATATAAATAATTTCTAATCAATGAACTTACGTTTAGTACACGGCACAAATGTTTAATTTGTTTTATTATTTTTAAAGAACAGGGTAAAATATTTTTCTGATTTAAACATTTTTCATTAAATCAAGATTTGTACTACGGTGTAACTTTAAAATGTTTATTTATCTATGCCGATTTCCTTGTTGATATCGGTACGCACACAACGTTAAAGCCGGTACACATACAACGA